ACACACACACATTGTCCCGTCACGTTGTCACCCTCTTTTATATACCAGACTACCCTATATCTAGTAAATGCTAGAGCATTCGCCAAGATACAGGATAGTTCTAGAAACGTGGCGTGACACTAGTCATGTGACCTCGCTGACGCCACAATATGTTTGTTTCAAGTTAATTATTTCGCGCTTTAGTTAAAAGTTCTAATCTGAGGTTGCAGTTCCTTGTTTAGTCTCTGTTATTTGTCTGGGTATCATCTCCTACTGTGTGAACAAAATCACATTGATGGTTGGGTTGTGCAAAATATAATGCAGCATTGCATTAAAGCTGGAATATTCAACTTGTACAGTGATACAAAAAGGCATTCAAAGGCGATACTATGAGAACCAGAATCTGGCATGAGGGTTCTGTTCTGGTTTCTTGTCCTGAGGCCCATAATACCCAAATCCAGCTCTATAGCCCTCATGTGGCTTTGCCCGAAACATGGCAAACAAAGAAAGTAAAATGTTTTTCATGCCTTCTGCAATTACAAGTTCAGTTTATAAGTAACGATCAATTTACTGTGTTGATCTGTTACTTAATTGTTCAAAAATGTTTATTTTTTCCTCGACGTAAATATTTGGCTTAGTATAGATATTTCACTTGACAGTCTTACATCAAGACACACAGTAATGTGTCGTGCAACCAAAAAAAAAAAACGCACGACACCCAGAGTGTGTTATTAACACAAATCTTTAGATTTTTCAGCCATCAGTATAATTGCCCCCGTTAATCAAAACTCTCCCATGTTTTGTATGGTAGGTCTCCCAGATCTCCTTACCTTACATACCAAATTTCAAAGAAATCGCTTTAACCCTCATCGTTATACAGCAGGCCAAACTTAGCTTTAAATTCTTCGATTTCTCCTCCTTCTTTTTCGCACCAGAAAAACAATTTCCCTTTAATCGACTTCTTTTAACCTTGGTGGTACGTAGCTGGTATATATGTTCCTCTGGGTTGACAGCAAAGTTGGTTTTAGTAGCTCCAGTACTCTCGGAGAGATGTGTAAAAACTACGCTAAAATCTCGTACATTTTTGCACTCGCATGGAGAAAATTTGGTTAAATCGATCGCGCTGTAATTTCTACCAAATATTAGGGTATTTCTAAAAGTGGAACATTTTTAATTTTATAAAAATCGAAGGTAAAATCCGGAATTATGAACCCAAAATTTTCACACGATTTTTGCCTACTACTTTGCACCACTCTTCAAACTAATAAAAACACTTCCCGGTATGTGATTGCCTTCGTTCCTGGTATATATAGCTAGCATATTTTATAATACCACTATCTACTTACTAATTTAAACTGTACCAGGAACAACTTGACTGAAAAAAAGGTGTGGACAAAAGTAAAGCAACTGAAAGATATGAACTTAAAGTTATTGAAGTATTGATGAAACCCACATTATATCCTTAAATTTAACAGGTGCTTGGTGCTAATTATTCCAAACTATATCTGAGTATCAAATTTATGTCCTTTGTGGTTATTTCTAACTAATGTACAACAAAGAAAAGTGATATTTACTAAAAACTAGCGTAGCTGTAAAAAAAAATAAGGGCAAAAGAAATTGTGACAGAAAGACGTGAAATCAAAGTTTGAGGCCAAAAATGAGAAAATATTGATAATTAAAATTTTATGCAACCTATAGTGACTAAGCATTGAGAATTTTACAAAATTTGTAGAGTATGTATATCTAATACAAGAAATCACATGAGCCGCTGTTTTATGTTCAGATACGCACCGACTAGGGACAGCACAGCGGCCCGTGTGATTTCTTGTAGTAGATATACATACTCTACAAATTTTGTAAAAGTTTGAATCTTTAATCACAATAGTTTGCATAAATTTTTAATCACAAATTGGCCGTAAACTTTGATGTCTTTCTGTCAAAATTTTTTGTGGGGGATGGGGGGGTTGCACTTTTGTTACAGCTACGCTGGTTTTGATTAGATAAAACATTACTTTGAAGATTTCTTTGCTAAGCCTGCCTTAGAAAAATCCTAGTTAATGGTTTTCCTTGTGGTATTCTCCAGTGCAGTTCCCCAGTGTCACAGCGGTATGTCTGCAGACTTACAACGCTAGAAACCGGGTTTCGATACCAGTGGTGTAGCTTTGTGCTTAACTACAAACAAACAA